TCTTACGTAGAAAGAGAGAACGAAAACTAGCCAATAATAAGAGACATGACAATAAAATTGAATGCTTAATGTATGTATGTATACATGGAAAGGATGTCTATTTCAATCATATACGTAGAAGAATATATAAAGCATTTCTTCTCATTTCAAGCCAACAGTACAACTAACATTTTACGAATATCTTCTTCTATAAAAAAATGCATATCCCGACCATTTCAATTATTGGAGTTTCAACAACTTGCGAATTGATGCAAGAAAATAGATGCGAATTCACATATAAAAACTTGATATTTGCGTCTGGAAAATGTGAATTAGATTTCTGGAAATGAAAAAACAGATCCAGATAAACTTCAAATTAACAACCACGGTTAGAACGAACTTGAAGAATTAGATAGTAATAATAAGCAAAGGGTTGTTTACTACACTAATTGAAAATCGAAAAGGAGATGATCATGATACAATCAGACAAATACTGAATTTCATAATCTCACGAACAGTCCAACTGATCGACGAAAAGTAAGAGATTAAAACTAATTAGGGCAAAGGATGAGTATCAATTTCATATTGGTAATAGCGTGCGTGAAAGGCAATAAAATTGAATCTCAATTTAATCTTACCTAAATTGAAATCACCAACTCAGCATTGTCCACAGTATAATAGGACGGAAGCGTGACTCTGGTGAAGTCGGTGGCGGTGGCGGCGGCGGCGGCGGCGGTGGTGTGGGCATTTGGACTGGCCGATCAAAACAATTACCGAAAAATGTATGTATTTATGATTTTATCTTTTATTATTGCTATCAAATATACTTTTGACCCATATACTAATCCTATATTATTTTTCCACACTATTTTCGGTAATTGACACTTTGCACTAGGGCTGGGACTGGGTTGGTTTTTATCCACCAACCGACCCATTACCGACCATATTTTTAGGCGGATAATCAATTTTTAACCAACCCATTGGATCGGGTCGAAAATTTCACTAAAACCATCTATAATGGGTCTGTTGGTGGTTTCTAATATTATCAAAAGTTGGTTGACCGATAATTATCGGTTATCCAACTATATTATTAAAATTTTACTAAAAATATAAAACAAAAGCCGTGTTTTCTTAAGTGGTTATTGAAATCATCAAAATAATTAGTATTTTAAATTTTAAAAACAATCAACAAAGAAAAAAAAAATGACCTAAATCTTCCACGAGTTTCTTTATGTCCAAGTTTAAACAAAAAGCTCACAAAACTCTACTAAATCTCTTGTGCATGTTTGAAATTACTTTGAATTTTCTAATTATATTTTTTCGTTAAATTGTTATTTAATTATTTTGAACTGATAAATGATGATCGCACTGTTGCATTGATATTTTACTCCAAAATTTGATTTTTTTTAAGTGAACTAAGTTGCGGGTATAAACCACCAACCGACCCATTTCGGAACCAAATATTCGGTTGACAACCATCAACCGACCCACAAAGGTTGGGTCGGCAACGGTTTTCAAATTTGAGCAAAAATGGTTTGACGGATGGGTCGATTTTTAGGCTGGTAATCGACCGACCCAACCCAATCCCATCCCTACTTTGCACACTTAAATTACATGCAAAGTGCAAACATAGATACATACATAGGGGTGGAAATCGGACGGAGTGGATCGGAAATGCCTTTTTGGAAATTTTTCATTTTTTTTCGAAAGTTAAAAATAGGTTCCAATTTCCGTTCCAAAAAAATCGGAATTTCAAAATCTATTCCAATTTCGGAATACCTCGGAATCGGCGGAACTTCGGAATCGGCGGAATTTCGGAATTTTCGAAAATTGCATTAATTCGTAATTTTTTGTTCCAAAATCAGAAATAATAGTAATTTTTAGTATATTTTTTTAATATTTTTGTAATTTTCCGACAACAAGCAAAAATCCGAAGCAAATGTCAATAAGATGAAAGTTAAACACTTGTAAAAACAACATAATTGATTTATCAAAGCAACCATAATTATTGCAAATTTAAAAAGAAAAAAAAAAAAGTAAACATAGTTCTAGCAAAACATGAATAGAAAAACAATACAAAAATAATATATATATATATATATATATATATATCTTTCGGAAATACAATCGGATCGGAAATCGGAATTTTCAATAATTTTATATGTAATTCTAATTCCGTTCCAAAAATAATCGGAAAAATCGGAAATCGGAATGAAAAAAAAGTGTTCCAAATTCGGATATTTTAGAATCGGAATTGACGAAATTCGGAAATTCCGTTCCAATATCCATCCCTATACATACATTTAAAAATGGAAAATTGCACATCGCCCCCTATAAATTTCTAAATTTCGCACTTTACCCCCTCAATTTTTTAAAAAATGAATATCCCCTTCAAAGTATTATTCTTGCACATTGCCCCGATAGCAAAATTTCGATGGAGTATTCATCGGAATTCAGGATTTTTGTTGCACATTGCCCCTTTAAATGTTAGTTTTATTGCACGTTGCCCCTTAAAAACATTACTTTTTGGCACCTTGTCCCTTTAAAATGTAATTTTTGTTGCACTATACCCTCCAAAAAAATTGGCTAAAGGGGCAAAGTGCATTTTGTACTCGAAACAATAACCCTTTCAATCCCCATCTTTTTACCTATATTCCATTTAGCCCCAATTTCACTTGATTTTATCAATTTCATCCCAAAAATCATTACGGTTTGTGATTTATTTTTTTGAACGAAATCGGAATTGGATTTTTTTGATAAAATTACAACTTTATTTACACCACTAACACCATCGGTAGTCAAACGACAATTTTCGAAGTATAAGCGAGCAAGCGTTACGGACAAGAGTAAGTACCTTTTACCCAACGAACAAATCAAGGCGAAATAGGTATATTATATGCTACATCGGGTGAAATACACCAGGTAGATCTTTACCATTCATATACACAAACACACACACACACCCACATTGGTGTGTGTAGGTCACCGGTAAAAAATCACCCCGATGTGGTCATCACTGGGTGTAGCATATGAATAACCAGCGAAATACATCAACTAATCGATTGATAATAATCTATTCGAGAAAAAAAATTAAAAAGTATACAAATTCTTTCTTTCATGCTGTCACTAAGACGAATAAGAATCTACAATGGAGTTTATTACAAGGGAGTAAACAAATCAAGGTAAATACATCAACTTATCGGTAGATAATCCATTGGACGAAAAACCACGTAAATACAAGTTCCTTCTTTCATGTTGTCACTAAGACGAATACGACTCTGCAAATGGAGTTTATTTTGTTAGCGATGCGTGGAATCTCTTTTAAAAAATAGTATTTCATATGCGGTTGAGTACTGAATCATGACGATGGGTGCAATGCTTGCGGCCAAGGATCTAACGAACTCTAGAAATGGTGGGCCAGTTGTTCTTGAGAGATTCAACATATCCTTCGAAAAACTGGTGCATGTTGATAGTTTCCTGCACATGCCATAGTCCAGAAATCAAATCATTTCAAAAACATCATGATTTTTTCAGAAAATTAATTTGTAAATAATCTAACAAACAAAAGGATGCCAAAATGAGCAAAGGTGTCACCCAACGACATATTTCACATAGTAGAGAAGTCGATTTACCTTGACCCTATTGGATTTCGCCAAAAATAACCCAGAAGCAGGGAATGTGTGTAATTCTTCTGCTAGCACTTGGGGCATTGCATAACAATTTCTTTGCCGTTTCTGTGACACTGATGACAATTATTTGAGTCGCTTCTTTTCCTCTGTCACACCCAAAGAAACACGTATTATCTCATTAGTCCTTCTAGATATGGACTCTACTTTCATAAGCAGTTCCGATATCACATATTCTGGATTTTAATTTACGCCACTCTGGTAGGGTAAAACATACTAGAGAAGTTGACCTACCTCACACCAATTTAAGCAGTTCGTTACGCTGAATTCAAGAATACGCAAGTCATGAGTGCTTTTAATTTTGCGAGAGGCGCGCCACATGACTAACGGTTCCCAGCTCAACCCAGTCGTTCTCCTGAGGACGTTAGGGACTATTACAGGCTCACCTTTATAAAGGGGCCATTCGAAATGTTTTTGGTCCGCTGTTTCAACGCCCTCAACTGTGGGACAATGGAAGTTATCCGATTCACTCCCATGATTGTATCCCGAGCATGAGCATGCTCCTTCAGAAGGTTCATGAGCATCAGCTACGGATTCTGCTTTTGTTAGCAGTTCCGATATCCAGTTAACTGGATACGTGGACTTCAACTCCAGAAACCTCAGACCACAGTACCGCATGCCTTGAGGTGGACAAATAATGTTACCGTTATTTGTCAGTTTACAGTCAGAAACAAAACCGTTTCTAATCTCTTGGCAGCAGCTCACACAAAGCTTGTATGAACAGTTTGGACAGCTTCGGTGAATATCAAATACTGAAGATTTGCAGTTACCGCTGCACAACGTAAGTTCTAAAGATCAACAAATTGCATGTTTGGAGCAGAGAATTATCGAGAAAATAAATCGGTTCGAAATATCCCACCATTTTTTCAGTTGATATTCATGGCTAAGGTTTGCTTTGGGAAGCCGTAGTCCTGCAACCGATAAGCCTGTCCGACAAAAAAAAAATACTACAATTAATCAAGCAGTGAAAATAGGGAAAATCATAAGGCACTTCGAGTTTCTTAATAATTCAGGTTATTATATATGGAATTTAATAATTAAGGTTGAATACTATCCCAAGGCACTTCGAGTTTCTTCTGTAACATCAAATCTAATATCAATAACGAGAAAATAAGGGTATCAAACTAATTTTCCAGTGGACTTTCAAAGTTACAGTGAAGTCCAGCCTCTTCGTCTCTTTCCACGTTTTGCTCAACAACAAATTTCTTAAGAGGAAGAAGTACTCGAATAATATATTTCATTATTTTAAGTCTGGCATCAAAAAATCTAAACATGCAAGAACAAGAGACCTAATACAGGTGAACGTTAAAACCTCCAAAAAAAAGTTAAAGTTACCTTGAATTCTTGCTTCTTGCTCTTTTTCTATGTTCTGCTCAACAACAAACTTCCTAAAAGAAGGACGAAGTGCTCTAATAATATATTTTGAGTACTGGACCTTTTTGTTGATGTCAAGCTGCAAGTCTGGTATGAACAAGTCCTAACATGCAAGAACAAGAGACCTAATTAGAAAACATATAAAATACTATATTAATATAAAATCAAGAGAAGAACCTTAATACTAACTTTATTCCCCAGATCAGAATGTATGCAAGCTGTACAGAATGTGGCACTGATGACAGTTGTTTGAGTTGCTTCTTTTCCTCTGTCATACCCAAAGACAAACATGTTAACATAAGAACTCATTGTCCTCACTTTTTGAATATCATACTTTACGAGAGTGAAATTATAAGAGATCTACAGTTCCGGATATAACCCTCTCAAAAATAATTCCTTCCATTTCACATAGGTATCTAATGTAAGATCTGTTGATTAAGTTAATTAAGATAAGTTTAATTACTAAATCATTTCGTGACTGAAGACTATATATTATTTTCAAAAACAGCATCAGATCCCTGTTGTTCTCTGTTTATCATTCTTTGATTCTAAGAGATCTGCCATCATAATTGACTTTCACGAAATTTACCTTAAAATTGAGCTCGTTCCTCTGCATATTTCCAGCAGAGGATATTTCTTCATCGATAACTCTACAAGGAAAAAAATCATCAGAAAGAGAAGCAACATAACTATGACACAAAAACTTGTCCTAGAAAACTAATCTTCAAATCGAGATGAGATCTATCATTAATCCAAAGTAGAAATGAAAGAAAACTGGAAAAAAAAAATGGACGGAAACAACTATGTGACCGAGAATAAAAGATCGGAAAATACAAAATTCAAAATAAAAAAATGAAAAAATTATGCAAGTCGACGCAGATATGTCATTTGATTTTGAACCAGATATAGATCAAAATCCTTGAATCCGAAAAAATGATTACAAGATGGAAAACTGAAGATTGAATGCAGCAGCTAAAGAGGCGGAGGGGGGGGGGGGGGGGTGGTGAGGGGTGTACCAAGAATAAGAAAAAATATCGGCATCATTCAAAAACTAAATAAAACTAAAAACTTACAAATATAAACACAAATCTCATCTGATTTTCAACCAAAAATAAAGCAAAAGCCTTAAATCTGAAAAAATGATGAGAAGAAAACTGAAAGAGGAATAGAGAAATGGAGATATGGTGGATGAATTGGTGCCCCGAAAAAGCGTGTTATATAATGGGGAGAAAATCTGCCTTGATAAGGTCGACACTCAATGCAGCGGTTCGCAATAAATTCGGCCTTATCCATCCACCAACTCACCAACTCAATTGGCGTATTAGCCTTAAAAATTATTAGCTGGCAGCAATATACGGAAACAAAATATAGAACATATTGAATGGGCTTGACAATACCTTACTACGGTTTGTGAATTTCTACGAGCAATTTCTTGGATTTCCGAATGAGAGTACCTAAGCCCAATATCCACTGCCAATAGGCCTGTTCATTCAGCAAACCCAAAATTAGAAAACAGAAATATCATTTTGCATTTTGCGACACTTGATACCCAAAACCAAACAATTTGGTTTGGCTTGGTAAATTCATAATGATCCGGGAGAACTGGATTTTCTGACAAATGAGACAACTAATTATATTTCATTGACCAAACTGAACAGCTTGTAAATTATACCAAACATATTTTGGCAATGCTGAAAACCGATTGCCATTCTTGGTCTTCATTGCTCTTCGGAAATTTCCAAAATTTCATCTTGGTCTTGATTGCTCTTCCAGTCTACACCATTATTCTCTATTTAGATTCAGGATTACATGTAAAATTGCCATTGAATAAAAAAAACAAACTTATATCTCGCATTTTCTTTGGTAGAAGAAAACAACAAAAACTAGCTAATAATAAGGCATATCGCAATACCAGGAATGAACATATACATGGAAAACATCTCGTCAATCATATTTGTACAAGAGGATGGTTTTTTGAAATGAGAAAAGTGGCCACCAGAAATTGAATATAAATTCAAAGAAAATCAGTGTTACGTTCAGTTGAGTACACTAAAACCAAAAAACCGGTACCAAGCCAAAACTGTGAAATATGGACAGCAGTTTAGTATTCGGTACAAATTAAAGCTTTGGGTTTAGTTCGGCCGGTTTACCAAACTGCTAAATAGCTCATTTCAGCTTATTTTTTGGGAATAATCAATTTTGATATGCTATAAGTTAGCCTATTTATCATACAGTGATATAACATGTTAACATAGATCTCTGATGTTGTTTTGATGAAATGCATAAAACTTTGAAGCTCAACAAAACTTTTTTAGCCTCGATACCAAATTAAAACCAACAACCTATGAACTATTTTTTTGCACCTAAGAAATTTTACTCTCTAAGCATTTCCATTAAATCTAAAGGAAACGCTATCTATTAAAACAGCGGATCTGTGGTTCAACACTTCAATACTTATTTCCCAAACAAAATAGTTAACGATGGCTCATTGACCAAATATTCCTCTAATACAGCTAGAATTTGAAGAATATCTATCAAATATTATAACATTGTGAAAATGAAAATTCTTATTTTCCATAATCGACTGTAAGCTATATTGTTCAAGGTGCATATCCTGACTATCTTCATTGTTCAGCGCACACAAGCCATAAAATGATAGAAATCTGAAGATTTTTTTTTTTTGGTTATTCGAATTTCAACTGTTTTATAAGGGCGCACAATAAGTGTCAACAAATGCATGAGAAAATCAATTTTCTTCAATACCATAATTAATTGTGTACAATAATTAAAACTTACATCATTGCAATTATCAAAGTCTTTCAGGAGAATAATTTTGCTCTAAAAGTATTTAGGCTTCATGAATATTGTTTGGGAGCATCATAATAGTTATATCTTATTTCGTATTACAGGATTATGAGACACTGCAGGTAATAATAATTTACTTTCGACCTTTTTTCTTGTGTTCTTGAACATTCTACATGATGTGCTTCGAGCATTTGCTTATTATGATTTTGCATAATGAATTCAATATTTTTTGGGAGCATCATGAAAATTTGAAAGAACAAAAAGGGGGGCCTTATCTTATAGATTAATTAGTGCATTTATCTTTGATAGTACATCATTTGATGTAACAACCAGAATTGGTTCTTCATACAAAATCATCTTTCTCCACTATAGCTAGCAAGTGATCATCATGAAGTTTGCATAGCATTTGAATATCTTTTATAACTGATTGTGTCAATTTTATTGCACAAAAAGGTTTTTCCAAATGCATTTTTCACAATAATGCAGACTAAAGTGTAAAGATCACTTTGGTTAATACATACTTTATTGACTGCATAACAATCATTAAAATTACAATTATTATCACATCGCAGAGATCTCTCTGCATAATTGAATACTCGATCGGAAAGATCTTTTTACAGTAATAAGCAAATCGTGAAGATTTCAGATACATCACTGTCTAATGCAGCAGAAATATTAATGTAATCTGTGAAATGATTATAAATTTACTATTGCTTCAAAGTGAAACCGATTAATGTAATAGCAGGAGAAAAAATATTTTGTCAAAGCAGAAAACGCAAAATAACTCGTGTTTCATGACTCAGTAAGTAATTCATATCATATGTATACTCATTTGAAATATGGAAAACACTTTTCTAACACCAATAACTTTGAAAGTGCAATAACACATTTCATAAAATTCATTCTCTCTCCAACTTCATCACAAAACAAGATATTCAAAAGTGAGAACTAAGATTTTTATGTTAACATTTTTGTCTTCGAGTATGATAGAGTAACTCAAACAATTGTCATCAATGCCACAAGAATGATGAAGAAATAGTTTTATGATGCACCAAATGCAATAAAAAGAACTATCCCGTTTCATGCATTATTAAATGTTGAGAACTTTTGTTGTTGGAGACATTTTATACTTCAATGCTCAATTGTTAGACACTACTAAAATCTTTTGTGTCGCGGAAATTCTTCGGCTGTGACAATTTGGAAGCCTACGTCACAAGATTGGTTCCAGTCAAAGAATTTCCGGATGCAAAAGATATAATTATAGTAGCATAACATAAAACTGAAACACTGGAATGAAAAGTATCTTCAACAACAAACTTATTCACAACTTAGTGATGCTGAGAACGCAACAATCCTTCAAACTGCATTTGATGTATCCAACAACTATATATTTACCACACATGTGACGCTGAGGACAATTGTTTGAGTTCATTTGCGTTTGTCACACCGAAAGACGAAGATATTAACATATGATATAGGAATCCTTGATTCTTACTTTTGAATATCTAATTTCGCAAAAATAAAAATAAAAAATTGAGATTCACTACCGAGGGATGGATTATGCATTGCATAGGACTCTTTAGGCAGTTTGAATAATGCAAAGAGAGATGGTTTGGTTAATTCTGAACTCAAAAAAAAACTAATTTTCAAATCAAGATGGTATATAGATGATTTCACCCAAATCCATAGTAAGAGCTGCCATGTTTTCAAAAATTTCCAGAGAAATAATGAAAATTGAACAGAAATAAATGGATGAGTAAATCAATTATAATCAGAAAATATAAAAGTCAAAAACTAAAATAAGATAAAATTAATTATGTCCAATCAGATGTGTCATCTGATTTTCATCCAGAAATAAATCAAAAGCCTTCAATCCAGAAAATGGTTTGAAGATACAAAACTGAATGTCGAATACATCTAAGGAGATAAGGTGGGGACCAACAAAATATAAGAAAGAAAAAATAGCGCAATCGAAAACTAAAAAATATCAAACACAAATCTCATCTTATTTTCAATCAAAGATAAAGCAAAAGCCTTAAATCTGAGAAAATGGTGAGAAGAAAAGTAGAAAACTGAAAGGAAAATAGATAGATGGAGATATGAGAATGAATGGGGTTAGGGAAAACGAGTGTTATATAATGGTGAGAAAATCTGCCGTGATAAAAACGGCAGTCAATGCAGCGATACGCAATAAATTGTGCCTTATCCATCCACCAACATGCCAGCTCATTTAACGTATTAGCATTAACCATTTTTAGCCGGTATACGATTTTGCATATTATATTCGTAGGGTTTGACAGTACCTTACTATGTTTTGTGGACTCTACATTAGCCATTTCTTGGATTTCTGCAAGAGTATCTAAGCCCAATATCCACTGCTAATAGGCCTGTCCATTCATTAAACCCAACATTAGAAAACTCGAAGTATCAGTTTGCATTTTGCCAAACTTAATACCAAAAGCAAAAATAATGGTTTGGTTCGTAACTTCGTCCAGATAGGGTAGAACTGAATTTTCTGAAAAATGAGAAAAGATGTAGAAAATTTTCTTTGGCATTTCATTAACCAAAATCGAACGGTTTGTAAATTGTACCGAACTTACTTTGGTAATGCTGTAAACTGATTGCTTTTTGGTATTTCGGCATTTCATCTTGCTCTTCCAGCCAACACCATTATTCTCTATTTAGATTCTCGATTGCATATAAAGCTGAAATGAATTACCAAAAAGAAAAGCACGAACGTAAGAACTTACTAACTCACATTTTCTTTTGTAGAAAGAGAGAATGAAAACTAGCCTATACCAAGACACAAGACAATAACAGTACAAGATATCTATTTATATATGTAGAAGATATCGAGCATTTATTCTTTTTTCAAGCCAGTAGTACAAGATAATGGTTTTCTGAAAATGAGAAAAAGTGGAAGCCTAGAAAGAGATTAACAATAAATTGAATAAACATTAAAACAGTTAACATTTTACGAATTCTTCTACAAAATATTATAACATTTACTTGAGCATTGTGAAAATCATATATATTATTTCTCATTCTCGACTGTAACTTCTATTGTTCAAGATGAAAATATATCCTGACCACTTCCATTGTTCTCGCAAGCAAACCACCATTTCGGTTATTGGAATTTCAACTACATGCAAATATATGCAAATTCACATATACAAAAATTGATATTTGCATCAGAAGACACGCATCAGAGAATGCGGGTCGCGACCGGAAATTACGAATTAGATTCTTGAAATGAAAAACAGTTCCAAATTAAACTTCATATATACTAACACAGCTATATTTAGAACAAACTTGAAGAATAAGATAGTTATAACATAAGGTGTGTCTACTACTTTGCTTCAAAATTTCTATCTCTTTGTTCTGCCTTGAAAATCGAGATGATACAATCAGACAAATAGTGGATTTCATAATCTCAAATACGAAAAAATAATTAATTAGTGCAAAAGATGAGTATCAAATTCAGTATCAGATTGGGGATAGCGTGAACGGCAAATACAGCAATAAAATTGAATCTCAGTATAATCTTACCTAAATTATTATCCACAGTATAATAGGACGGCGGCGACTGCGCGGCGGTGACGGCGGCGACCGTTGGCGTGGGCATTTGGATTTTGGACTTGCCGATCAAAATAATTACCAAAAAAACTTTTATTTATACTAGAGAATCGTATGATGATTATGATTTTATTTTATAAAATTAAAATATACCCTCGTTCTCTCTGTTTATTTTGCTAAAAATTACTAAAATAACTCTTTCAACCCTCTTTTTTACTCTATTGTTTACTTAGCCCTAATTTTACTTTATTCCTACAATTTCATCCCAAAAAACATTTAAAGTTCAGATTTCTGATTTTTGAATAAAGTCAAAGTAAATTTTAATCCGAAATCCTCAATTTTGGAATAAGTTTTTTTTACCAATTTCTGATTTTCTGGAACGGAATTGGAATTAATTTTCCACTTTTTAAAAAAATAAAGTTTTTTGCGGAAAATGCTATTTTCGATTTAATCCGTACTATTTCTACCTTGATAGATAGATACAATAAAAATATAGAAATATAGAATTTGTTTATCATTATTTTTTTTCTGAAAAAAAGATTATGGTGATATTTGCAAAAGTTTATTTAAAAGCAGAAGTTGGGATTGTGAGTTAAGTTGTTTGTAAGTGTTTATTTTAAAAAGTTGAGGATGTTTGCAAATTTGAGGGAAAATAAACGTAAATAAAAAAACAGGGTCATGAGTGCTTAATAAATTATAGTTTAAAGTTGCTTATTAAGCAAAAGTTTATTTTACAAATACTTAAAAATATATAATCTATTTCTAAAATAAATTTAATTTATTATTGATATAATAAGAATATTCAGATATTTTTATATAATATAAAATATGAATAGGGAATATTTTTTTTACAATTATTATAATAATTATATTTTAATTTATTATTAATCTTGATTACAAGAATACATTGTTTTGATGAAATATATATGTTATTAGTATTCATGTAATATGATAAATACTTTTACAGTGATTTTGTATTTCGAGTGTTTTAGAGGGTGTTTGGCTAAGCTTATAAGATGTTAAAATGAACTTATAAGATGTTTTAGAGTTTATAAGCTCTTCCAAAGTGTTTGGTAATTTTTTTAAAAAAGATCTTAATTTTTTAAAAAATAAGCTGTTGGAGAGCAAAAAAGATATTTTTAAAAAAGTATCTCTACCCTACCTTTTTATTTAAGATCTTATTATGAGTAAAAATAGGAAATAATCTAATTATCCAAACACTCTAAAAAATAATCCTAAAAATAAGACGTAACAGCTTATCAACTCCTAAAACATCTTATCAGCTCTTAAAAGCTTAAAACATCTTATGTAGCGTGTATGTATTTTTTTAAAGACATCTTATAAAATCAGCTTATTTTTGAAAAGTAATATAATCTTTTGTAAACTTTTTACCTAACACTTTACAACAGCTTATAAGCTTTTAAAGTACAAGATGTTTTTAAGAGCTTATAAGCTTAGCCAAATAAACTCTTAATGAGAAGCACTTATCTCTTAATCACGTAGTTAGCAGTTGTCTAATGTTCTCATGAGCTGTGTGGGCCACGCGTCACGCCTCCCAACCAGCCGCCACCGTCCACTCACCGGCCACCACTATTCAACCCCGTCGAATTATTTTTACCACCATTTTTTTTTAATTATTTATTTTTTCCATTAAATGACAAAAATAAAAGAGAAAAACAAAATAATCTTCTGACATTTTTCTCCTCCGAAAAAATAAAAACAAAAACCTCTCAGAAAAATCCCTTCCCCCATTATTCAACTTCGAGCTCGAGCAACAAATTCCACCCCCGAAATTGGGCTCATTCCATTTTCCAATTCGTTCGATCGATCCGTCAATTCTTCAATTGAGATTACTGCGTCGATTTTTTTTTTTGTGATCGATTACTCGGTTAGATCAGTCGATTACTCAGCTTCGATCGATTTCCCGGAGTGAGCGAAGGGGAATTTTCCGGTAGGGATGGAGCAGAGCAGGAGGGCGGTGGAGTCGTATTGGAGGTCGAGAATGGTGGACGCCGCCACCTCCGACGAGGATAAGGTCGCTCCGGTTTACAAATTGGAAGAGATTTGCGATTTGCTGAGGTCATCGCACGTCTCCATCGTTAAGGAAGTCTCTGAATTTATCCTCAAACGCCTCGACCACAAATCGCCTATTGTTAAGCAAAAGGTCCTTCCTTTTTACTCTTTGTATTTATATTGTTTCGTTTACTTTTTACTCTTTCTCGGCTGTCTTGGTTGTTTTTGGTTGATAAAATTTGATTAGTTAGCGTGTGTAGTGAAATATTTTGTCTCCTTATAGTTCTACTGTTGATTTGGAGTAGCACATCAGTCGTCGATTCGATAATAATAATTTCTGAAGGAATATGACTGTCATGCAACAACTTTAGGTGATTAACTGGATGCATGAATTCACTTTCGTGTCATGTGTTAGGGGCTAGGGATGATTTGCAGGATTTAAATAAAGAATTCAGTTGACGGTGGGATATAAGCATGTTCTGAAAGAATTTGATTTCATGGATTAGTTTTGTCTTTATTTAACTCGCGTCTCTTGATATCATAAATTGGGAGCCACCGGAAAAAAAAAGGGTACTTCTAGTAGCACGAGTCAAATTAATTGTAGCGATTTAGGATGCTCACAAATGATGCTAGAAATACAAAATCCATTTCATCAGGGGAACTTGTGCCTGCAGCAAACGCATGTATTCTTGCCTTGAAAACCGTACATAATTAACCTAAATGAATCCCTTGATTATGCCTCTCTGGTATTCCATTCCCAGTAAAACGTTGAAGTTGTTTTCAGCCAAGTTGCTGGATTTGTGTGTTGTTTTTCCAATGAAGATGATGTAGCTGATTTTTAGGAAGCAGTTTTCTTGGATGAGTATGTCATATGATTTGCTTTCTGCATTACTTCCTGCTGCATTGTGATGTAGAACTGAGACTTGACTAGGCCGACCCAATATTATCCGGTTTTAGTCTAAGAAATATGCAAGCTTTCTTCTTGATCCAAGTTTACAAACCAGATATCATTTGACTCTCCATTTAGCTACTAATATTGCACAGCTGATGTGGATTGGGTTAGTGGCGTATTAAAAATATGTTATGCATTTACCTCTCTGGGTATCTAATTCACGTGGAAATACTCTTATATACGTCTAAATGTAAATCAGTATCTCTAAAACATAATCATTGTGTTCTTTTATTCAATTTGTTTTTGTAGGCATTAAGAGTCATCAAATATGCCGTGGGAAAGTCAGGTGCGGAGTTCAGAAGGGAGATGCAAAGGAACTCAGTTGCTGTACGTCAGTTGATCCACTACAAAGGCCAACCAGATCCTTTGAAGGGTGATGCATTAAACAAGGCTGTGCGTGAAACAGCACAGGAAACATTATCTTCTCTATTTTCATCAGAGGAGAGCAAAGCTGCACCCACAGAAAGTAGTCTTGGCAGTCGAATTCAAGGATTTGGGAATACCAACTATGAAATGCCATCAGAAGATAAAAAGTCCTTCATCAATGAGGTTGTTGACATGGGGAGTGCTACAATAAAACAGGGACTAAGTAGTTTTACACAGTCCCCATCCATGAGGAGAAATAACGACACTGGGAATTATAAAAGCCCTAATCTCCGGCGATCTTTGACGAGGGAAAGTGACTACTCTGACCGATATGAAGGGCCAGGATCTCATGATGAAACTCAGAATTCTTCTCGATTCTCGAAAAATGCTGGTTCTAAAAATTGGGATCAAACTGTCGGTGCATCTCAGGCAGAAACAAGTAGTGGAGACTCTGGTTCAACTTTCAGTCAGAAGACTCGTGAGGAGAAATTGCTTGAGACCATTGTAACATCAGGCGGTGTCCGTTTACAGCCTACTCGGGATGCTATTCATGTTTTCCTGGTGGAGGCATCAAAATTAAATGCATTATCAATAGGGCATGCCATTGAGAAAAAACTGAGATCCCCTATGTGGCAGGTTTGGTCTTTATGCCATTATTTTGTTTTTCTTTGCAATACAAGTATGATGTTTTAATTCTTAATGATGACTCCTATTATTTGCTATGTTAGTGATAGAGTTAAAAAAACAATATACAGTATATGCTGATGCCATATCATCGAATATTTTTTTTCACTTACTGTATGCTGCTTGTTTAGGTTCGCATGAAAGCCCTGTGCGTCCTAGAGGCTGTATTGAGGAAGAAAGACGATGATAATTTTTCTGTTATATCATCCTATTTTAGTGACAACAGCGATGTGGTGATCCAGTGTTCTGAATCTCCCCAAGCATCTTTGAGGGAGAAAGCAAATAAGGTAAATATGTTAGTTTCAGTTTAGATGGCTTATTATGGATAGTTAAAGAGAGAGAAGAAGTATGAGAGTGAATCAACAAGGGCTCTTAGTCTTCTTAGTGTCTTGAATTTAAAATCATCCCCAGTGGTCACTCCAAAAACTGCTGTCAGGTTAAAAGAAACAGTAACATGCAAAATGAGTGTTACTTTATTCCTGCTCAAAAAGCCTGAAGATGTTTTCAGGGTAAATGGTAAATGTTTGCCATTCCATTAATTGAGAATTTCAGGGTTCAGAACAAAGTTGGTCATATTCTATCCGATAAGAAATATTGCAAGCTATCTTATTTTGTATTGTAAAAGATGAATGCAATTTAGAGCTTGATGCAGTCTTCGTGTTAAATTATAAGTTGCAAGAAGTAATTAACGGTGGTCATTATATAGGTTTTAAGTCTTCTAGATGGCGAACAAAGTGGTGGAGGAAACAATTATGTAGCAAAATCAGCGCCGCCGCCTCAGCCTATAATGATGCCGGACTTGATAGACACTGGTGATTCAGATGATATTCTTGGAGTTCAAGATTCCAAAAAAGCAGAGTCCGAATCAAGAGCTACAAACGCCACAACTTCTAATCCTCCGCTTATTGATGACTTACTTGGGGGCAATTTTGGTATTGAGGAGAATACAAACGGTCAGAAACTTGATGATGACCCTTTTGCAGATGTCTCCTTTCACACCAGTCAAGATAAAGGCCATATTACCGATCCCTTTTCTGGTATGGCTGTTGAAAAGTCGAGTACTAAGGAAACCCATACAGCAGCTCCTAAAACTGAATCCGAACCATTTGACTTTTTCAACTCTAGTTCTGGAAATGTTGATGACTTGATGGGAAGTTTGTCAGTAAATGGGAAAGATCCATTTAAGAACGAGAACGGAAGCACTGTTGAGAAACGCTCGCAAAATGTGAATCCGTTATCCAGTGTCTACCTAGACAATAAAATTCCGAACAGCATCTTGAATAGTGAATCCGCCCCTCAAGCTACTGGGATTAATGCGTCACCCATGTTTCCTATGGGTACCATGGGATATAATATTCCACCTGGCATGATGTTTAATCCGGCATTTGCTTCTCAAGCGATGAATTATGGTGCCATGGGGAGTCTCTTTGCTCAACAGCAGTTCCTCGCTACTATGTCCAACTTTCAGCAATTTGGGAATCTGCAATCAAATCCAAATATTAATGCTGCTGCACCTACCGGAGAAAATTCGGCCTTTCCCGACATTTTTAATCCAGTTCTGGCTTCCCAACCTCCCACGTCACTGATGAATGACTCGAAGAGAGATGACACCAGAGCATTCGATTTCATCTCGGTAAGTATCGTTCCCTTCTTTCGATCTATTAGTTAGATACACAGCTTCAAATATGCTATCACTGTAACGCTCCAATTTTTTAATCTGTTGAAGAATAAACATATATCTACAAGTTGGTGGAATTCAATTTCTTTCATTTCCATTGTGTATCTTTTAAATCAAGATTTAGGAATGTAGATCTTCTCACTGTTAACCTGTTTGCAGGATCATGTGGCCGCAGCTCGTGACCCGAAGCGCGTCTGAGTTGAGAAAATATTGTTTGTTTTGAAGCTATGGAGTTGGAAGTCGAGTCAAAAAAACGAACAGGTGAACATAAGATTCGAAGCGTACCTTTTGGAAGTTCTTTGCATGTTTGCATTATTGTGAGGCCAAATTCAATGGATTGAGATATTATAGTTTTCCTTATTGTGCAGCTATCATTTGTTTTCCCCCCCGATAATAAACCGTGTAGATTATTTTGGTTACTTGCGTCATTTTCTCTTAATTTATTCTCTTTCATTGTGCGCACCTTTAAATGTGGAGATACAGAAGATACATACACTTCTATCCTGGAAGAAGATCATCAGAAAGCAGGTGTTGGGAAACTATTATATCCTTTACTTGGTTAATTATAAATCAATTTTATTGCTTTTCTTTATTATGTAGTCAACTAGTTGCAAACAAATTCTTAAAATTTAAACATCTGATGCTTTCATGTGCAAATATCTGTTATTTTTAGTTAAATAAATCTCAAGAGATATTTGTTATTTTAGTTAACTTACTCGAATAATTGACGTAGTGGTTTACGTTGTTCATGTGTGCACGTCTCAACTTGTGAATTCAAATTTTGACACACTTGTTTTCCGTTGGCTGTTATACGGTGTGTGTTTTTACCGTTGATCTACACAAACCGATGTGGGTGTGTGTGTGTGTGTGTGAACGACAAAGATTTACCAGGTGTATGACACCCGGTGTAGCATAGTATAGACCAATAAGGAGGGGAGCGTTCGAGGATGAACATGATTTTCTAGATTATTTGTTCAACAAATGTACTCAGAGTGAAAGTACTTCATTTAGATAATTACTTTTCAAATAAAGTTCTCAAAATTCTAATAGCAGGAAATTGGCAAGACAATTACTTTATTATCCAATGGCCAAAATATCACTACTTTTTTACAGTAGGAAACCAACAAAATTGTAAAATTTTGTAACAAAGTTATAATCTTTCTTCATTTGACTTCTTTTGCGACATGTTTTTAGGTAAATATTTCTAGATTTGATCAAAGGTTAGCGTTTCAAGCAATATCAGAACCGGATCGAATCGGCCGGTCGGACCGTGGCCCGGCGATGAGGCGGTCCGGTCTGACTCCTAAAACCGAAAAAAAATTGGGGTCAAGGAATCGAAATCTTGCTCCTAAAACCGAAAAAAAATTGGGGTCAAGGAATCGAAATCTTGTTTGACTGGGTAAAACCTGAAAACTGGCGAATCGATAAAAGAACCCGTTTTTTGGCCAAGAAAAACTCAGACCACAGTAGTTTGTTTTTTATGGCTGAATTTGAGCGAACCTTCACGGGGTTAGTTATGGTGACCAGATCCGATCATGGGTGGTCTAATAGGAGTGGTGTATTGTGGGATTTAGAGAAGAAATAAGGGGAAAGACTCCGAATTTGGATATGGATTCGGACATACGGAGAACGATGCTTGATTTGTAAGAAACTATAGAAATAAAAAATCAGAAGAAAAAAAAAATAGGTAAAAATTAAGTGATGTGTAGAAAAGTGAAAAGAGTAGGTGGAAGATTTAAAAAGAAAATAGTATTTTCAAAATATTAAAATTAAATAATTAATAAAAAAGCAAAAAAACAATAAATCCTCAATGTTTCGAGGATGCCATGTCACGAAAAAGAATCCGGGTCGGGCTGTCAAAACGGGCTCCAGATAGTAATCAGCACACCCATTTCCGGAACATCGGGTTCTACGCCGGAAATTGAATCCCCAATCGAAATTTCTTTCTTCTGCAATTCTTCCCATCAATGGCGGCTTCTGCCCGCATTTTCAATTTCTCCAACAGCCATTCCCTCCTCCTCCAAACCACCCGTCTCCACGCGCCTCTCCGCAGAACCCAACACCTCCGGTACTCATCACTCTCCCTCAATTCTCACAACCACTCCTCCCCCAAATTCCTCAACGCCCACTCCTTCAACTCCTTCCCAGTTTTCCGGTCGGCCAATTTCTCCATCCCGGCCAATTATTTCGATCGCCTTTTCTTCGGTGCGGCGGTGAAGAACCCCTTCCACTGGAATTTCGCCCCCCTGGGACAGTGCGCCGGCGATCGGAAAAATGGAATCGCCGCCGGCGCCGAGGTTGCGGTGGTGATGCTGGGGTGGCTGGGTGCGCAGCCCAAGCACCTGAGGAAGTACATCGAGCTGTACAACAACAAGGGCATCCACGCCGTTACTTTCGTGGCTTCTGTGAGGGATGTGCTGTCCTTCGATTTGGGGAAGAAGCTCGAGGAGAGGATTCAGACATTGGCGCGTGAGCTTGCATCCTGGCTGTCGGATGACACCGGCCGTGATCGAGTACTGATTTTCCACACCTTCAGCAATACCGGTTGGCTAGCGTACGCTATCTTTCGATTTCGTTTTTATTTATGATCTTCTATATGGGGTTTTTCGTTGATTTGTTCAATTCATGTACATTGGAGTATGCGTTTTCGTTTGTCGTAATATGTAGACTATTTCTTGTTTTGGGCAGGTATGGTGCAATTCTCGATAATTTGAAAGACAGACAAGATTTGTTGGAGAAGATTAAAGGATGCGTCGTTGACTCGGGAGGAGACCCCAATTTAGATCCTAAGGTTCGCGTTAAATTTAAAGTGGTTTATTTATTCAATAAACCGTGATTGTATCTACGTTAACTGTTTGATTGAAGATGATATGAAGTTTATAGATGGTGGAGTTTTACTTTAGTTACTCTGTCTCTAAGATAAGTTAGCTTTGTAGAAAATATTTGGTTCTTGTACAAGTATCTTACGTCGTCGAGCCGTTGATTTTGGTGCGTTTTGCGTGTTTTGATGATAAATATTGCTCGTTTTTAGCATTGTGGAGATCAAATATAATTAGCTTTTGGGTGTTTATTTCCGTGTTCCGTTTCCTTTTTCTTGGGCTACTTTTGGATCTTGGGCAATAGTGCATTACTAAAGAAATTGCTTCGTTTTCTTAGCTTCGAAAGAAATGCAGATGAAACTTCATTAAAACATCTATACGGGAAGTTATTTATGCATTAATACACATGTTTCGTTTGTTTTTTCATGTTAGGCAACTCCACTGGAAAAGTACTTTTAAGTTGTTAAAAGTACTTTTCTAGTGTTTATGTAATCTCCTTTGTATGCATTCTCAAACGACACCTTTTTCGACTTCTTTCAGGTATGGGCTGCAGGATTCACCACAGCCTTGCTAAAGAAAAGCAGCTCCGCCACTTACCCTTCGACTCGATTACAAATTGGCAACAACGGAACAAAAATCGAAGAAAAGGAACCGTTTTTAATCGAATCTTTTCTCTTATTTGCATTCGAAAAACTCTTCTCCAATCTTCTCAACTTGCCCAACATAAAGCCGTAAGTATTCATTCGAAAATCTCCATCGAATTTCTGTTATATTTCCAATCGAAGTAGCATATATAAATATCCTCTCGTCGAACAGGAGGTTGACAAAGGTTATTTCTGGGCTTTCGAAGCATCAGCCTCAATGCCCCCAGCTTTATCTGTATAGCGCAGGCGACAAAGTCATTCCGTTTCGAGCGGTCGAAATGTTTATCGAGGAACAGAGGAAGATCGGGAAACGTGTTTCCTCTTTTAATTTCGGATCTTCACCTCACGTTGACCATTATCGGACTTTTCCTGATTTGTATGCTTCTCAGATTGACTATTTCTTGAAGGATTGTTTGTCCATGGTTGGGAAATTATAGATACATTTATATTTCCTTGGACATTAGAATTGAGATATACTTCAATTCTGTCTTATACAGCTGATATAATTTTAAAGGGTAAATTACAACCACCGCCTGAGGTACCCCTCTTGTTTGGATAATTACATCTACCCCTCAACTATGTTTTTTTCTTACACCTCCATTCTTATGGTGTTAAATTCAACATAATCATTTAGATTTCGTGGAATATGCTCTAGTTTGTACTCTTTTTGCGGAAAATTACAGTTTCTGGTGCACCACAATGTGATATATACAAGCTAAAAAACACATATTATGATCATCTTGCTTCAAAATGTGGGATTCAAATGGGATAAAACGAGTACAAAAGTGATAATATTTCATATAATCTCGAAAATTCCATTAAATTTGAAATTGCAAGGGTGGACGTGTAAAAAAATTTATAGGTGGTGGAGGTGGTTGTAATTACCCAAACGGGAGGGGGATTTTCGTAAATTGACCATACCTCAGGGGATAGATTGTAATTTACCCAATTTTATATTTTAACAGAAGTATCTCCTTCTGTAGCAATTTATTAAAAATATTTTTTAAATAATAATTTATTAAAATATTTGTGGTCAACTACAATTTCAATTTATCGTGGTCCAATCCAATATACTCCTTAAAAATGCATTCTTCATTTTATTACCAAATCAAAGATACTACACTTGATAAAACAAAAGGATTCTATCAAAATAACTTGTTGGTATTTATTTATTGGCCGTGGATAATTATTTATGAGTTAAATTATAAATAAAAATTTTATATGCTTAACAACTTAGACACTTGATTTATATAACAATTTATGTAGCATGGAAATTTCAATTTTTTAATGTATTCGCATTTCGGACACGTTTTGTGTACTCGAGAACATCTGCTAGACATTTTATGAGCCATTTTGTAATTTCTGATAAGTTAGAAACATGTCTGAATAACAATTTTTCAAACATTTGTGTTGCATCCCTAACTCATTACATGAATTACAAATTGATAATTGAATATTTATTTTAAAAATATATATTTTATGAAAACATATAAAAATAAATTATATATAAATGACAACTTATATTTGCATGTATAACATATTTATAAATATACCCCTAAACTTTTGATATTTATACATTTCACCCAAATTCCGTATCCCCATTTTTTAGCATGTATGCTATGTGTCGGTGCTACATAGTACATAAGCACTAACAACTCGTGGATAAATAAAATTACATGATTTATCAACAAATAAATCAAAATAAATACTTTAATTTTATTTCAGAATATCATACTAAAAATTGAAGGGGAAACTACAGATAAATCCCTAATCCAAAACTCAAAACACAGATCAGTCCCTAGGTAGTTTCTTCAAGCAAATCAGTCCCTATTCACGCGTCTGACATGCAGATCAGTCCCTAATGTAAATTTAATATATTTTATTATATTCTCTCTCTTCTTTTTCACTCTCACCATTTTCTCTCTCCTCATTTTCTCTCTCTTCATCTTCTCTCTCTTCATCTTCTCTTTATTTCTTCTCTTTCTTCATTTCTATCTGCTCTTTTTCTTCTCTATTTCTTCTCTCTTTCTCTCCTCTGGTTTCCTCTTTTTTCCGACGAAAGAGGGTTCGCACCGATGGCTGGTAGGTCTCCATATTTTTCTGTACTACTGAAATGCATTTCTTTATGGTTGTTAATTATTGTGATACATAGTATAAAATATGGCACGTAATAGTACCATGCTAATATAAATATGGTATGGACGTATGGTACTTACAATACGTAATCGTTATTCGTATAGTATGCGTGATAGGTAAATTTGGTACTGTTGGTGGGAAAACATAGTATCATATAATGGGGAAGATAATACGTAACCTTCATCTGAATAGTATGGGTGATAGGTAAATTTGGTACTGTTGGTGGGAAAACATAGTATCATATAATGGGGAAGACAGTACGTAACCATTATTCGGATAGTATAGGTGATAGGTAAACTTGGTACTATTTGTGGGAAAACTTAGTATTATATAATGGAGAAGATAGTATGGAACCAGTGCATTGTTATGATATTTTCATGTACATTGTTATTTGGATTCCACTCTATTGTAATCCATTTTTTAAATTTTTTTAAACCAAAAGCGGCAATCAATCGATGGAAATCGAGGGTAATCCGCTTAGAAATTCAATTGATGCATGGAGACATTGCATCCGTGGGGAGAATCAGTTTTTTAAAGATCCTGATGATTTTAGGCATATGCTGAAAAACTATTCTATTGCTAATAATCGATCATTTAAGTACATGAAAAATGATCAACAAAAGATCATAGCAGTACGCATTGACGAAAACTGCAAATGGAGGGTTTATGCATTATTGTACAAGTCAGATAAGTTATTTAGCATTCGTAAATGCAATCTTGAGCACACTTGTGGTGATGCTACTCTTCGAGTAGCACCACTCAAATGAGTGGGTTAAAATACAAAAAAGGGAAATGCAAGCGTCTTGATTGTGGGAAGAAAACAATAATCATGGTTTCAGAAACTATTTTGAATCCCGGAAGGTTATTTTACTGTTGCCCACACCATGGCTACTCCCATTGGTGTGAACCATTTGAAGTTGGGCAAACTTTTTCCAACTCAAATCGTGAAGAAAATGAAGCTACAAGTGCGTCGATGAACCAAGTCCATCAAGAAAGTGAAGTGAAGAATTGCAATTCTGAAGGTGGAGTAGTTCATAGTTTAATAGTGTTGAATCTAGTAATATTTGCAGTCTACATGTATGTAAAACCTATGTACCGTTGTTTAATTAGTGAACATAAGAGTACAATGTATAAGCTGGTAAAGTTAGGGTTATTCGTGAATATAGTACGCTTTGTTCACCAAATAAGTACAATGTATAAGCTGGTAAAGTTCAGTTTATTCGTGAATATAGTACGCTTTGTTCACCAAAAAAGTACAATGTATAAGCTGGTAAAGTTCGGGTTATTCGTGAATATAGTACGCTTTGTTCACCAAATAAGTACAATGTATAAGCTGGTAAAGTGTGTGTTATTCGTGAATATAATACGCTTTATTCACCAAATAAGTACAATATATAAGCTGGTAAAGTTTGGGTTATTCGCCAATATAGTACGCTTTGTTCATCAAGTAAGTACAATGAATACACATGTGAAGTACAAGTGATTCGTGACTATAGTACGCTTTGTTCACTGATGAAGTATATGTTTGCCATTCATATAGTATTGTTACACTCTATATATTATTGTGGGGCCAATGCATCCATATGATCGCATTTTAAGACACAACTCTTCATTTTAAGACTATTAAGAATGAATGGAGACAATGTGGGAGTCGATCAATATCGATTATGGTAACAATTGAGGAAAATATTAGTTTTACACTTGAGCATTGTAGACTTGTATGAGTATATTGTATAGTATATGAGTATCATGTATGAAATTCAACATATTTATGGGATCTTGTATTCCAAACGCAACAATAATGCTCACCTACCTTAAAATAATCATCTAAAACATAATTTATGCATCTCCCGTACTTATTGATCATTAAAGCGTCAATGAAATTGGTACAATTCAATTCATCAAAAAATATGGTACGCTTTGTTCATCAAGTTAGTACAATGAATACACATGTGAAGTACAAGTGATTCGTGACTATAGTACGCTTTGTTCACTGACAAAGTATATGTTTGCCATTCATATAGTATTGTTACAATCTATATATTATTGTGGGGCCAATGCATCCATATGATCGCATTTTAAGACACGGCTCTTCATTTTAAGACTATTAAGAATGAATAGAGACAATGTGGGAGTCGATCAATATCGATTATGGTAACAATTGAGGAAAATATTAGTTTTACACTTGAGCATTGTAGACTTGTATGAATATATTGTATAGTATATGAGTATCATGTATGAAATTCAACATATTTATGGGATCTTGTATTCCAAACGCAACAATAATGCTCACCTACCTTAAAATAATCATCTAAAACATAATTTCTGCATCTCCCGTACTTATTGATCATTAAAGCGTCAATGAAATTGGTACAATTCAGTTCATCAAAAAATATGGTACGCTTTGTTCATCAAGTAAGTACAATGAATACACATGTGAAGTACAAGTGATTCGTGACTATAGTACGCTTTGTTCACTGATAAAGTATATGTTTGTCATTCATATAGTATTGTTACAATCTATATATTATTGTGGGGCCAATGCATCCATATGATCGCATTTTAAGGCATAACTCTTCATTTTAAGACTATTAAGAATGAATAGACACAATTCTTCAGTTTATGGTAAGTTTTTCGTGAATACACATGTGAAGTACGCTTTGTTCATCAAGTAAGTACAAGTCTAGTGTTAACAAGGTATCTTCGAATAGACTAGAAAGTATTTGTTGCTCATTTTTATGGTACGCTTATATTCTTTATACAAACTAATTAATCGCAAAATAAAGTACCATGTGTTCAAAAGGTAAGTACATTTCATAGAAACATATAGTACAATGGATACAATGGAAAAGTACGAAGCGAGCTAATCAATAGTATTATTAGCTCTACAACAAAATGACAGATTGTTTATGGCACAAAAACACATTCATTTGTTCATTAATTACCAAAAAACACAAAAACCCCAAAACACTTCCAAGCGTATAGTATTTCCCCCAAACCAGAAGGCCCGATCTTTTACATTGTACGCTTGCATGAGAGACACAACCCTATGGAAGCTGTGGGTTATTTTAGGCATGTCCATGTAGTGATAGAAGGGATTTTTCTTCAGTACTTCATAATGTTGTTTCTTCATCACTTTTTTCACACCTTCCATGGTTGTTTGAAAAGCGATCGGTGAGCACCTGCAGCCTATTGATAGCTTGCTGCAATCTTCTTTTACATCAATTCCTGCAATTACATACACATAAAACTACAATTATAACAAATACAACGTACTATAAAGTTCCACATGTCAATACCATCCAAAGTCACTAGTAATACCATTCAAAGGCACTAGTAATACTATTGTGGCATATGACACATACTACAGAACCATCAAAGATTATACTTCCAGTACCCTGTGTTAATATTGTCCGAAGTCAAGAGCAATGCCATTATTACATATGACATATCCCTTGTTGGGGCTAAATTCTTTCGGGACAATACTTCGAGTACCCTGTGTCAATACCATCTAAATGCACTATTAATACCATTACTGCGCATGACACATACTATAGAACCAGTACGGAAACTACAATAAGCCTCTTTCCCATGAAACCCTTGTTAGGACTCAAAATGCTTTGGGGACATGCTAATGTCACCGAAGAATAATACCCATGAGGAAACTGTTACAAAATCATGAAATTCGACAACAAATAAATGATCTTTGCAAACCCAATCAACAGAAAAACAGATATTGGAACCGATTTAATGATTAGGGAAAACACCGAATAAAGTCGAGGCATAATACCCATGAGAGGATATGTTCAAAATCATGCAATTCTACAACAAATAAACCTTTTTGCAAGCTTAAGCAACACCCAAATGGGTCTGTTTCCAAGAAAATGAAAGAAAAAAAAAATCAAACCTTGTTGTTTACCCTGCTTCACCATTGTCGAGAAATGGGTTTGTTTATTTTTATTTTTCCTTTCGTTTTATAATGTTTCTGCGTTTTGTTGATTCTTCGTGCTTCGTTGTTTCCTCCTTCTTTGTTGTTTCTTTGTTCTTCGTTTCTTCTATGTTTAGCTTCTTTCTTGTTGTTTGATTTTTGAAATGTAACGGGCAAAGAGCGTGTAACACAAACGGCTCATTGAAGGTTGGAAATAAGTTATGTAAAATTAGTATAAAGTAAAGGGTATTTTAGTATTTGCACATTTTATTAGGGACTGAACTGCATGTTAGGCGCGTGAGTAGGGACTGAATTGCTTGGGGAAACTACCTAGGGACTGATCTGTGAGTTGAATTTTGGATTAGGGATTTATGTGTAGTTTCCCCAAAATTGAACAACTCAGATTAACATAGTCCACATTCAATGTACTTGAAATGCTTTCATTTCAAACAAAGAGTTCAAAATTTTGATTGGCGAACCTCAAAAATCCACCCAATCAAAATCCTCATCATTTTTTTTACCCAATTTTATTCTTAGTTCCAGTCAACCAAAAACTCCACCTTTGGAGTAAGCCAAAACAATGGCGATTCTGGATGATTATTCAACTCTATCGCCTCCCAATTCGTACGCCGCCGTGGTTCTCGGCGGCACCTTCGATCGCTTGCACGACGGCCATCGCCAATTCCTCAAGGTCTGTCTCTATTATGTATTTACACACACACACACACACACACACACACACACACACACACACACACACACATATATATATGTATATATACATAAGCGAAGATCTTTGGATTATTATGATTTTTGATTTTCCGTAGGCTGCGGCGGTGTTGGCGAGGGATCGAATCGTGGTTGGTGTCTGCGATGGCCCTATGCTCACCAACAAAAAGGTATTTGATTAATTTAATTTTTTTTTTTAAATGCCCAATGGTTGTTGTGCTAACTTTCTCCTGTTAAAAGAACCACCAAATTCTTTAGGCCAATTGTTTGAAATTTGATTGGAGTGTTTTGAAGGTAATAATTCACAAATTATTGTTGCTAAAAATCGAAATGTGCGGTTTGGTAGGGACTGATGTTAGCACTTAGCAGTGCTAGTTGACTTACTGTGTTGTGACTACCGAATAAAAGATGCAATATATCGGCAGCAATTTCGGTGTTCGTTTGTAAGTATTAAGATTTTAAAACCAAATTAGTATCCGTGAAAAAATACGAATTAGAGATGCTAATCGTTAATAATAGACGTTAGTACTTTGAAGTCCAAGAACACATATTCGTCTTAAAGTTCGTTGCATATGAATTTAAGGTAGAATTATAGAGTCGCGGGTCGTATTATGTCGTTTGTTATACGATAAACATTCTCGTGATCTCACTTTATTATTCTTTCATTTGGTAGCAAATTGAAAGATTGTGACGTGTTGAACGTTTTCTTGCAGTATTCTTATCTGATAGAGACAATTGAAGAAAGAACGAAAAATGTTAAAGATTACATTAAGGTACTTTTTTCACGTTCGAATAGGATGCTTCTATATCCTTTTCTTTTCTTTTGTTTTATTGAGGAATTAAGTATCAAGCTTTCTATTTTGTCTTGAAACTGCTGATTTTCATTTTAATTTATATTGCCATGAAGATAATTATTATTATCTTCCGTTTAATTATTCTCTCCAGTCTATAAAATCGGAGCTCGTTGTGCAAGTGGAACCGATTGTGGATCCTTATGGCCCCTCAATTGTTGACGATAATTTGGAGGCTATTGTTGTCAGGTCTGTAAAATCACACCTCGGCAATAATCTTCATATTTTCTTTGATTATTATCTGATTCCCTATCCACTTGGCAACTCCTTTTCCTGTGATTATATTTACTTCCGTTTCGTTCTATGTTCTTTGATTGTGGAGGTTAGAATGTGATAGACTCATCCATTAATTAATTTTTAAGCTTATATTTCATCTTATATCCATGTGTCGATTTACATTTGTCGAAACATGCTATAAGGTTGATAACTGCGGACTTCTAAAGAGAGCCGTGATGCTTTGTTCGATACTTTTAACTTTGAAAATGGTTTGGAAATCTAGCTGCCTATCATGTAATAATGTATTTAGAGTAGTAGATACTGTTGACAAATGGAAAAACAATTAATTGACAGTTTTAATTTCAAAAAGTTGATGAAAGTGGAAGTTACCGATTTTTTTTTAAGGAAATTCCGTTAATGATATTCCTATAAATGATTATTGGACACAGTTGTTCGTTATAATGTTTTGGATGTTATGCAATAGCTAACTCAAATGCTTGTCTGACAGTAAGGAAACTTATCCCGGAGGATTATCGGTCAACAAGAAGAGGGGCGAAAGAGGTCTTTCACAACTAAAGGTTTCGATGCTATTCAATCTGCACGAAAGTACTTCTTTTATTTTCCTAACTTGCTATGAAACAAATAATCTTTGAAACTTTTGCAGATTGAAGTTGTTGACTTAGTCCCCGAAGAATCCACTGGGGAGAAGTTGAGTTCTACGGCGTTACGGAGAGTTGAAGCTGAGAAGCACAGCAAGTCTAATGCATGAAGGTTTCCAAATATAGTACCTACTTCTTTTCATGGGGTCATTGGATTTTAATTTTTCATTTAAAAAAAATAATAATAATAATAATAATAATAATGATTATTTAGATGTGTAGATGTAGTCATAATTCCCACCTTATTGATATGTTTCATAGCAACATATTGTTATGTATTTATCTTGTATCCAATTTTTCATTGGAAAATATATTTCCACATAGTAATATTCTTAGTTAAACTCATTTTCTTCATCTTTCTTCGACTTCTTTTTTTTTTTTTTTCGTGTTGTATGATTGAACGGACGAAGACGATTTTTTTAAATGTAGATTAACTGGAAAATGAAAATTAATTAATGAGTCTTCGAATTTCTTAATTATTAGAGTCAAAAAACCACTTTTATCTAGCTATATTTCAAAATCGCAAGCTACTCAATCTACACTCTCGTATAATGGCTCGCAAATTATACGAAAAACTTCAACCACAGCAAACTAACCATGTGTGACAATAGCGACCGATGTCAAGGGAATTTGAGCCCCGGTCAACTAACACAAATTCACTTAATCCAAGTTATTCAAATCGTTCTCCTTCTCTACTTGACAATTAATAATAAGATTCGAAATTTATCAAATTAAACAAATAAATTAATAAGTAATAATTCTTTCTTAATTGCACTTTGATTAATCAAATGCCTGCTGCTACAAACAATTATTTCTATTGCCGTCGAGAAAAGAAAAAAAAAAAAAAAAAAATCAGCGGGGCAAGTCTGCAAATTTAATAACTTGTAAAACGGCGTCGTAGTAGCTCACCGAACTTAGCGGGATTTGACAATTGAACAACGGCTACGTAAAAACAAATTTCAAATATTTAAAAGTAAAAAAACTGAACGATCGCCAAAGCAGCAGTTCGTTCTTCTCTGCTCTCTCAATTCCTCCCATATAAATCTCTGTTTTCGTTTCTCTCACTACTCTCTTCCTTTTAATACCATTACTGCAACCGTTTCCTCTCCATTTTCTCTCTCTACAATCACACACACACACACACACACACAATACACATAGTAATAAAAGTGTCAAATAATACGAAGAGAAGAGAGATTGATCATCACCACTGATTCTTCAAGGTTTGATAATAAAACCCTATTTTTTTTTTTTTGATTTATAATACTTTTTTCGAATCTTTATTTACATTATTACCGCAAACCCTTGATTTACATATTTGGGTTTCCTATAATTTCTTTTTTTTTTTTTTTTTTTTTTTTTTAAATTTTGTTTTTGATTTGCAGATAGTGCACACAAGATGAATGATCTAATGACAAACTCGTTTCAAAGTTACGTGGAGTTGAAGAAACAAGCCCACATCGATCTCGAACATGAGAGGGACTTAGAGTTAGGGCAGCAACAAACGGACGACGAAGAAAATCTATCCCACTTCTTCCAAGAAGTCGAAACAATCAAGAACGAGATGCAAGACATCGCGAACCTCCTACTCGATCTCAAAACCCTAAACGAGGAGACGAAATCCACTTACCGGGCCAAAATCCTCCGCGGCTTAAGGGACCGAATGGATTCCGACATGGTCGCCGTCCTGAGAAAGGCCAAAACGGTCAAATCACATCTCGAAGCCCTCGATAAATCCAACGTGGCGAACCGGAAAATATTCGCACAAGGCAGCGCCATCGATCGGACGAGGGTTTCGACCACAAACGGGCTGAGGTCCAAGCTCAAGGACCTCATGAACGGGTTCCAAGCCTTGAGGGAGAAGATTATGTCGGATTACAAAGAGGGGTTGAAGAGGCGGTACTTCAACGCGACAGGGGAGTACCCGAGCGACGAGGTGATGGAGAAAATGGTGACAGGGAATGGAAGCGTGAGTGCGTTCGAGGAGAAAACTGAGGGTAATTTGGAGAATAAGGAGAGGCACGAGGCGGTGATGGATATATGGAGGAGTTTGAATAAGCTTCATCAGGTGTTTCTTGATATGGCTGTCATTGTCGAGGCGCAGGGGGAGCAGATCGATGACATTGAGAGAAACGTTGCTGTGGCGGGTAGCTTTATCAGCGGCGGAACGAATAGTTTGTTCTACGCGAAGAAGATGAAGAAGGATGGTAATAAGTGGATTTGTTGGGTTTTGGCTGTGGGGTTTGTTGTGTTGTTGGTTTGCTTAGTTGCTATGCTCACTAATTGAAGAGAATATTCTCTGTTATTTTTCGTCGTTTTTTTTTTCCGGGTTTTTTTTTAATAGGGAGTTGGTTGTAAATTCTCGTTTTAGTAAGATTTTCGTATGAGTTTTTAAGATTTTTTCGGTTTTTCGAGTATGTATCTGTGCAGATTGCTGATTTAGTTCTTTGTTGGCTTCGGCAACTTCTGAAGCAAATATGAAAACTGGGAAACTGATAAATTGTCGACAGTAATTTTCGAGTAAAATTACAGAGATACACACAGATGTGTAAGGAAACATTATTTTTTATTGATGAAGCGTTACAAGTTACACTTGGTGCGTTTTATTTGGACGAGACATCGGTCTTAATGAAAGAAAAAGAAAATCCGAAAGTTGTTGTCAGGTGCAGTTTTCAAGCCAGGCTTAGTTGTTGCACTGCAGTCCAAGATTCGTTCGGCCCTATCTGAACTTCTCCAATCTGAGATAAATATTATGGAAAAAACGAGAAAATAAATGTCGATTACCAGTTTATTCAGAAAAGAAAATCCACAAGTAATATTATACGTAATCGGGGACTCTCGTACCTGGGCATTTTCAACGCACACGAAATCTTTATAACACGCTTCCATTGTTAGATGAGGGTTCCACAAAACAGCATCTGACCAACTGCATTGCGAAAGAATAATACAGGACAATGATGACATGGCAATCGTAAAAATGGTAATAAATAAAAATAGTTAGAAAAGCCATCTCGAATTTACTTTGTATTCTTGATGGTGATGACATCACCCAAACCATTGTCCAGCTGTATTTCTGCCGGAGCTTCTAGATAAACGCAATCTACGAATCCAGGAAACGTAATAGCATCCCTGATTCGAGAAAATAAAAAGTCAGAAAATATACTATGAAAAAGAAAGTATTTTACAAGATATGAACTGGGGAAAAAAAATCGAATACGAGAAAGATGTAAATTTCCGGTGTTAACCTTCTTTGATGTTTAATTTTCTCATAAAGTGTAGCATATATTTATTTATCCAGTAAATGTATAAGCAATGGTAACTCAATTTGGGTTACCGAGTATTGACAATAAATTCTTGAGTTATTTTTCAATATATATATATATATACCTTTCCTCTGCACCCTCGATTGGATTCTTAGGGTCGGGATCTTTGTTCAATGTTTTGCAGCCTTTTAAACCTCTAACAGTTGCCCCTGGTACCAAAGCCTGCATATATAATAAATCCGAACTACGAAAATTTCAGGATATATTGACATTACAATAAAGAAGAAACACACATATATACATATATTCATATCTATCTGCATTTTTGCATTACTGTTATTTTAGAGTGTCCAACGATATTCGGGAATCATTGCTATTTTCAACGGTAAATCCAACACAATTTATATTTCATATTTTCTGGTGTTCCGAAATGTCTAGAAATCGAAACTTACCGCAAAGTATGTATGCAGGGCAGTAGTAAATGAAAACGGCTTTTCATCGGTATTTGTTACTTTCAACTCTGTCGAGAGGGTATTTTTGTCCAGAGTAACCTGAAGAAAAAAAAAAAGAGTGACAAGAAGTATACAAATGAATTGAATCTTATTGGAAAATTCGTACAGACAATTGACAGATACATATAAAACAGCAAAACAACAACACACGTACTACTAACCTTGTACAGAGCTTGAAAACTGTAATCCCACATAGAACGACTGTACGGACCATCTTTTAACTCGAGAGTAATCGTAGGATTTCCTTCGACATTTTCAGAGCTAACAATCGACCAATCAGAATTTCTTGCAAATCCATGCTGTGATCAATATTAATAACATCAAACGTTAATATAAGCAATTTTCGATAGCAGCGCATCCCGGAAAACGTGAAGGAATTAACCTGCTGTATCGCTCCAGGTCCAAACTGCGGAAAACAGTGTGGTATTCCTCCACTATATCCAAATAAAAAAAAATAATAATAAATTTAGTTTAATTCTCAGGAAATTTTAATTTTGCAAGATTTCAACTGATCGAGTAATCGGTTACGGCAAATACCTGATGGGCTTTTGCCCGTTAAATACAGCATCTGGTCGAACGAAAAGGAGGTCTTTATTCGCTACTTTCCAGGATGTAACACAACCTCCATATAAGTATAGCTCCGCCTCACTGAAATATAATCAACATTCAAATTACATTCGGAGTATACAACTAATTTTTCGTGTATCGGATCAAATAATCGAATACAAACCGGTTTGCATAAGCTGCGGTAATATCAATTTTAATTCAAAACTACTTTACACTTCAAATTACCCAAATTTATCAATCAGGTTGAAAATTCAATACAAATAATCACAATTCACTTTGACAAAAAAAAAAAAAAAAAAAAAAAAAAATTGGAAGGTACCTTCCATGAACAGAAGTCAAAGTAACCTTAGGCAAATCACCCAAACCCTTGGTAACTTTCACATTTTCAACATTTACACCGGCGGACGCCATTGTTACACCAGAAAATCTGCAGAACGCCGTTAAAATTACGAGGCTATTATTAATTTTCAAAATTAATTGAGGGGCAAACCATGAAATAAAGTAGTGGATGTGAAACTGACCGGCTGAATCGGCGAGGCCTAGCGGCGGCGGCGGCGGCGGAGGTGGTGAGAGAGAAAGACCATGTCGCCGGAAGTGCCACCATCTTCAGATATGATGATGGATGATATTATCAAAGCTAGTGTCGGAAGTCAAAAGGGAATATATTCGTTTTGGTGCTTTTTCTTTTATTATTCTTTTGACCTTTTATTTTAGGGAGAATTACACTCACACCCCTGAGATATGCTAAAATAACTTTAAGGTCCCTCTAGTATCGATAATTACACTCACTCCCTGAAAACATAGTTAGAAACTCTAATGGGATAATGCATTGTATACGTTATTCCGATAGAGTCTTAACGGACTATTACTTTCAGGAAGTGGTGGAGACAACATATCCAATGCATTATCCCATTAGAGTTTATAACTATGTTTCAGGAGTGTGAGTGTAATTATCGATACTACAGGGACCGTAAAGCTATTTCAGTATAGCTCAGTTGTGTGGGTGTAATTAACCCTTTATTTTATTTTCTTTCTGATTTTCATGAAACTGGCTACTTCTATTATGGACCACTTATCTTGTGGCATCAAAATTGGATTTATAGTTTTATACTTTGTTCTTTTGCATCTCACTTTTTTTTTTTTTATTTCGATGGATAGGATGTTGTAATATTGTTATTGTACTATTGTAGATACCGATAAGGGTGTAAATAAAACGGCCTAACTTTTAGTGAGCTCAAGCTCGAGCTCGAATCGAATTTATAAGCTCAAATTTTATATTGATATTATTGTAGATTAATTGAAGGGGTTTAGCTCGTAAATCTCTTTTATCTAGTTTCATTTACTAGACAATGTCTACTCGTATATTTTGGGCACCACACCTCACCTTTTAAGTTTCGCTTACAGTTAGCTCCTTACATTCCATGAAATGTTTGGAATGCCCCCACTTTATACTAAAATTACATCTATACTTCATTTTCACTTAATAAACAAACGATACTGCTCATAAAAACGTGTTTTTAACAAAATCATTTTCAATACATATTTATTTATTTATCATCAAACATTTTTCAAAAACGAGTTGTTACAAACTTATTAGTTCCGTGTGTGAAATCACTGGAAGTCACACATTGTGCATTCGCGCGAGAGAAAATCGACAACGAGAAAGTCCGGAAGATCAAGAAAGAAGAAAAATGAGATAAAAATTCGACATTATCCTTCTTAAGTTATATATCGAACGGGCAGTATCCTGTTTTGATGTTTTGATTTCTTGTTCTTATAACAACTGCATGGTGGTTTGACCGAATTTGAAAACCTTAAATTACAGAAAAAAAACTATTCCTTTGTTGTTCGAGTTTGCTAAAGCCCGTTATTTTCTTCAAATTGCACGATTTTGAGGATTTAAGCAGTCGTGTATTATGATTCTACAATTTTAGTTTATTGATAGACATTTTTCGTTTGTACACAAGCACTTTGATACGATATATATTTAATATATCGTATATTTATTCGTTAGTTAGTATTTTTATTATTAATTAATTAGAATAGTTTGTTTAGGTTTATATAGATAGCCGTGAGTTTAGTATTTAGGATATATATTAAGTATTTTATTAGTTTAGGTAATTATCTTTCCTAGTGAGATTAGGATTCTAGGGTTTTATTATCTTTAAATAGTCGTCTTGTGCTAGGGTTTGATAATGAAGAGAAAAATATTAAAGAATAGATCTTACGTTTCGTAGGAAATATTTATGATACTCGAGAGATCGCATCAATTGGTATCAGAGCGAAGTTGCGATTAACACCAACGCTTCGTTAGCAAGGCAGCGATTATATCAAAGCTACGCTGGAGCAAAGTTGAGATCACATCAAAACTTTGTGAAATCATGATGTCAGAAACAAGACGGTTGGAGCGATTGGAAAAATCCGTAGAGAAATTACGGATCGATTTTCAGAAATTACTCGAACAAAGTCAAGGACGACGTCAACGCCATCACAAAAGCCGAACGGACCGCCGCCCATCACCGCCAACACCACCGCTGCCGCTGTCGAGCCTATTGCCAGACGAAGAGGAAGAGGATGACGATGAATTTTTCAAAGAGCCACCGCCGCCGCCGCTGCCGAGCCTATCGCCGAAGGGAGAGGAGGAGGACGACGATGACTTTTTCGAAGAACCCCAATTTTTTGTGAGTTCGCCGAAAGATGAATTGTCGAATTCACTTGAGGTAATTTGGGACGAAGGTGAGGAATTAATTAAGGAAGAGAACGAAGAACTACAGTGGATAGTAGAAGAGTCCCACGATATTCAAAAGAAAGGAGACGATCAAGATTTGGTGACTGTGAATGAGCCCGGATCTGTAAAGACGATCGAGAAAAATAAAAGAATGATATTGATTGTGAAGGAGATGAAATTTGAAAAGACAATTGAGAAGATTGATTTATCGGGAGAGAGATTGAGAAGATTGAGATTTTTTGCAAAAGTAGCCTTTGGAATTTTGTTGGATCAGCATGAACAATGTGTTAATAAGCTTGGTCGTTCATCGTGTTTTTCGGAATCGGAGTTAATCGGGAAGCAAGTCGATGAAGTCAAACATAGGTGGAAACGCAAAAGAGAGGGACCAAATTGACTCGAACCTTGAGGACAAGGTTCATTTCAAGAGGGGTGGTTTGATACGATATATATTTAATATATCGTATATTTATTCGTTAGTTAGTATTTTTATTATTAATTAATTAGAATAGTTTGTTTAGGTTTATATAGATAGCCGTGAGTTTAGTATTTAGGATATATATTAAGTATTTTATTAGTTTAGGTAATTATCTTTCCTAGTGAGATTAGGATTCTAGGGTTTTATTATCTTTAAATAGTCGTCTTGTGCTAGGGTTTGATAATGAAGAGAAAAATATTAAAGAATAGATCTTACGTTTCGTAGGAAATATTTATGATACTCGAGAGATCGCATCACACTTTTAGATTGCTAAACACTTTATTTTGCTCCTAGTTTTTTTATTCTTAGTGTTTTTGGGTGTGGTAAACGACGATCGAAAATGATTTACACCGTAAGTGTGGTTTGCGCGCTACTGCAACTAGAGAGTGAACAATATACTAAATAAAGTACAACAAGTCCATTATGAGGTTTCTTAAAACAACAATCCATTTCTTTACTTATTGGGACATAATTACAATATGATTCCAAAACAAATAAAATCACAAAAATACATGATCATGCCTTATATTCACCGAAAATAAGGGAAATTTTGTTTGACTCCCCAATTTTCTCAATATTATATTTTCTGCCTCATTCTTGGAATGAAACATTAATAATAAAACAAATTAAATATACAAATTTAGCAGGGTGGAAGATCCTTTGGTGGAGGGAGAACTTTCTGATCAGGCCCTGGTCCATCTTCTACTACAAATGCTGTTTTCAATCCCCAACCTGTGTGCAGCTCCAAATGGCAATGGAAAAACCACACCCCTGTTGCATAGGATGTTTTTTTAATAAATTGGGGGTTTTTAGTAATTTGATATAACATATGGGTACTAAATGCAAATAAGTAAAATTATTCAGTGCTACTATAGATAAATGGGCAAATCACAAAAACCCACAAAAACCACCTCCACCTATTCGTAATTACCAAGAACCTTACTGTAAAGTTTGTTTCCGTCTTACACCAAACCATTACATTGTGACTTTTCACAAATTTTGTTTCTTTTACACAATTTAAGATATTTTCTTTTATGTTTCACCTATTTAAAAGAAGGTATAATAGACTGTACATAGTTTTCTGTTAATAAACTCGATCAACAGTTAATCAGAGGATATTTTGGCAATGGAAAAACCACACCCCTGTTACATGCGAGGTTTTTTGTTAATATTTTTAATAAATGGGGTTTTTATGTAATTTGATATAAAATATGGGTACTAAATGCAAATAAAAATATTCAGTGCTACTATAGATATAAATGAGAAAAATATAATTTTCGTCCCTTAAGTTTGCATTGATTTCACATTTGACCCCCATGTTTACAAAAAATACATTCGGTCCCCATGTTTAAAAAAATCAACACTTTTAGTCATTTTCGTTAATTTTCCGTTAAAAGTAACGAATCAAACATGAGCCCACTACCGTAACTGATGAACTAATGGTAAATTGATGGAAATGACCAAAAATATCAAATTATTGAAACATGAGGGACCAAATGTGCTTTTTGTGAACATGGAGGACCAAATGTGGAATCATTGCAAAATTCAGGGGTGAAAACTATAGATTTCTCATAGATATATATACCTGGATTATCAGCTCTAAATCGAATAGCGGTCCATCCACCCGTCGGAACGCCGGCAGTATTCCTCTCCGGCGGATCGACCAAATTGTACTTCGCCGGATCCTTCGCACGGTCGAAATTCCCGATTCCGGTCCCGACAATGAAGAAATTGTACCCGTGGAGGTGAAACGGGTGCGACTCAACCGTCAGCAAATTGGTGTCCTGTATCACAAGCTCCACCGTCGAGTTGAACCGGATTTTGCTGAGCCTCGTCCCCTTCGCCGTCTCGAGATTCGCCGTGAGCGGCGCCCCCGTGTAGTTGAACGGCGTCGGCGGCAGATCCGGAAAATCCGTCGTGTAAACCCCCGCCGTGTCGGAGTAGTGCGCCTCCAGGAGCCCCACGCGCGGCATCACGAACGAGATGTTGTTCAGCGACGCCGCCAGGCGCGTCCCGTTCACGCAGCTAGGGCAAGGGTTCCGCCCCAGCCCGATCGTGTAGAACAGGTTCCGGTCGACTCGTAATGGCACGTTCGCCGGAAATTGGGGCGAGTTCAGGCTCCTGAGTCTGTCCTCGTAACTCAGCGCGAATGACGTGTCGTTAGGGTTTGGCAGGTGCGGGAATGTGGGGACCACCGTGTCCGGTATTCCCTTGTACTGGAATATCGCGGCGGCGGTTTTGTTGTCGACCGGGATGGGCACATCCATGAAGGGCCTTGCGGCCATGAAATATCTTCCGGGGGTTTGGTTTGTTCGGACGAGTACGTTTGTCGTTTGTCCGGGTGCAATTAGTATGGATTGAGTCGAGAAGGGTTTCGTGTAAACTGCGTCGATTTCGACAACTGTCATGTTGTGGTTGGCTATGGCGAAGAAGAGCTCGTCGTTTAGGGCGGAGTTTATGAGACGTAGGAGGTACGTTTTCCCTTGTTCCACTTCCATTGCGAATGTATGTTTTTCGGAGCAAGGGAAGAACGGGCCGGGCTTTCCGTTTATCGTGTGTGCGTCGGACATGTTTGGAGGCAATCCTAATGTATTTCCTTGGTTCTCTACAGTCTCAACATCTGCATTCCACCATTCTCCTGCAACAAAAAAATATTAAAAACGCTTAGGCCTTATTTGGTTGACTCGTATGCGAGTCGAAAATTTTGCTAATGAAGGAACCCGCAGCCTAGTGCAATATCTTGATTTATCGATAAATTGCGCATTGGATATTACATCACGTGTTCAAATCATAAAAAAATTGGGTCCTCGTAAGATTGCAAATATCTTATCTTGACTGATTTCATCGTGGCAGCCAAACGAGGCCTTATTATACTCGTGCACACTCTTTGAAATGAAAATGGAGAAAACTTCCTTTTTTTTTGTTAGTTCAATTATTTCAATTACTAGCTTTTGAAACTCAACAAGATCACTTCCCTTATGATTGGGCCCTAACAAAATATGTAATCTAATCACAGCCAAACGAGACCTTACGATACTCGTGCCGTGCGCACTAAAAATGATAATTCTTGAAAGGTTTTGTTAGTGTAGTGAAACTCACCTAACAAGATGACTTGCTCTCTATCCGGTTGAGGGAATGGAAAAGGAGTGCCTTGTTTGGGCATAATCACAATTGCACCATAAACGGTAGCTCTTAGCCAAAGAATATGTGCATGCCACCACAATGTACCTCGTTGCTCCGTTACATTGAAATCGTAAACGTAGCTATTCCCCGTTTTTATCGGGCACTGAGTTATATAAGCCGGCCCGTCTGCCCACCCGTTTCGGTATTGCTTCAATCCATGCCTAAAACCAATAAATCTTTCCAATTAAATTCAATTTTTTTTTTTTTTGTGAAATTATATATATAAGCGCGTTTAATTTTAGGGTAAATTACGGCCACCCCTAGAGGTAAGGTCAATTTACGAAAAAATCTCCCATGTTCGGGTAATTACAACCACCCCCTAAACTATGAATCTTATTACACTTATCCATATAGTGTCAAAACTCAACAGAATCTTCTAGATTCAGTGGAATGTTATCTAGTTTGTACTCGTTTTCTGCAAAAATGCAGTTTTTGATGCACTAAAATATGATATTTACAATCAAAGAGATGCATCTTGTTTCAAAATGTGGAGCTCGAATGGGATAAAACGGGTACAAACTGGAGAACATTCCACATAATCTAGAAAATTCCACTAAATTTGACACCGCTGTGGGAGCTGGTTGTAAATACCCAAACATGAGGGTTCTTTTTGTAATTTAACCTTACCTCGAGGATGGCCTTAATTTACCCTTTAAATTCAATATTCTTACCAGTGAATAGACATGTTATATTGTGCATAGTTTGTGACATTGATAAGAACTCTGTCTCCTTCTCTGACATAGATTGTTGGACCTGGAAACATACCATTCACCGTCACAATTGGCTTTGCATTGCACAATCTGCTCACATTCTTCACTTGAATCTGCAAAATAAAAATAAATAATTATAATTTACAGATTCGAATATATATATATATATATATATATATATATATATATATATATATATATATATATATAACGATAAATAATTACTCACGTCGAACTGATATTTTATAACGGCTGCATCCACAGGAAGAGAGACGAAGCAAAGAACCGCAACCAAGGCTATACAAACGCATAGTTCAAATCGAAGTTTGTTTTCGCCGGTCATTTTTCTTTTCTCTCTCTCTTTCGATTTATGTTTTTCGTATTTTGTAAAAAAAATACAATGTTGTTATTTATAGAGACATGCATAAATAAACTAAATTAGGTGAAGGGGATATGTACTCCAAAACTTCAAAGCAAAATACTGATTGTGACTAGAATAGTTCATTGACTTACTTAGAGGTATAGAAATCCAACATCTCTAAGCTAAGAACAAAATTTAATTTGATTTAATTATATATATATATATATATATATATATATATACACACACACACACACATTATAAGAGAGCAATGTGATGCCTACACCCACCCCCACCCTCACCCTACCTACCATTGGTTTGCTGAGCTTCACACTTAAGCAAAACAAATATAGTTAGCTTTTTGGAGGCAAGTTATATCAACTACATTTTACAAAGTTTTCATCACAATTTTTACTTCTTTATTACATATTGTTACTACATGAAAGGAACTTAATTATGTGCATTTTATAGTTATGTGAGTTTCCTTACATCTTACGTACATAGTTAATCATCTATAAATACAAGCAAGATTCCATTAATTACCCGCAAGGGTGGCCTAGCGGTTGGAGCAAGAGAACTTGGGTCAATTGACCCAAGTTCGAATCCCCTTGCCAACGGTCGCTAGGTCGAGCTTGTCACACATGGTTAGCCTAGTGTGGTTTACATCTCTCGTATGGTTTGCAAGCTATTATACGAGAGTGTAGGTTTACCCAGTGCACCTATATGGTTGGCTGCGGGTTCCTGCATTACCAAAAAAAAAAAAGAAAAAAAAAAAAAAAGATTCCATTAATTCAGCGAAATACTAAATTATCAAACTACTAATTTAGTACATTTACACCAAATTGGGACGGGTAAAAATTGTTATTTAAGCAAGGTTATTAATTTGTCGATGTTATACTGAACATCAAGTTCTCAAAATGCCAATGGAAATACAAATTTAGGATGTTTATTTGGTTAATATTTTAATTGTCTAGTTTCTTTATAAACAATCAAATCCCAAAACTTCAACCCAAGGTGATGTGTAAGTTATCATTTTTCTCAAATTATAACTTTATTAATATTTACTGTGCAAAAATGCAGTTTCTGATGCACCACAACCTGATACATATATACACGCCAAGAGATACATCTTGTTCGAAAATATAGAGCTTGAATGGGGTAAAACGGACAAATTAGAGAATATTCCACATAATTTAGAAGATTCTACTAAATTTGACACCGCGAGGGTGGATGTGTAAGAAGAATCATAGTTAAGAGGATAGTCGTAATTACTCAAACATGAGAGATTTTTTAGTAATTTGACATTGCTGTAGGGGTGGCCGTAATTTACTCTAAAATTGTACAGAAAACAATCATTTGATCCTAGTGATTTTGGTCTCAAAATAGGGTCCAATAACATTGGATACCCAGCCCAAGCCTCATACTCAAATCTGAGTCCATTGTTTTTTTTCTTTTTTTCCAGATTTCGAGGTGCATATTTAGGATATATATAAATCGATAAAATAATGTAAAAATGAATGCATTTACTTATATTTTTAAACAACTAATATTTTTTTAAAAGCTCATAAATTTTTATGTCTTATTTTTAAAATTAATTTTTGAAGTATTTGAATAATGAACTTATACACTAATTTTACTCGTAATAAGATGTTAAATAAAAAGGTACAATAGATATATTTTTTAAAAAGATAAATTACAACCATCCCTGAGGTATGGTTAATTAACGAAAAAAACCCTCTTGTTTGGACAATTACATACCTATTAATTATGATTTTTTCTTACACTTTTCCACCCTTATGGTGTCAAATTCAACATAATCATCTAGATTTCGTGGAATGTGCTCTAGTTTGTAAAAATACAGTTTCTGATGCACCACAATCTGATATATATAAGCCAAAAAACACATATTATGATCATCTTTCTTTAAAATGTGGAGTTGAATGGATAAAACAGGTACAAAAGCGATAATATTCTATATAATCTCGAATATATTCCACTAAATTTAAGACCGCAAGAATGAACGTGTAAGAAGATTTATAGTTGAGGGGGGTGGTTGTAATTACCCAAATAGGAGGGGGTTTTCGCTATTCGACCATAACTCAGGGGTGGTTGTAATTTACTCTTTTTAAATAAAAAGATGGTAAAAACTCTATATCGAGCTTACTTTTATAAATTTTTAAGAGATTTAAAAGAAAAATTACCAAACATCTTCAAAGAGCTTATAGGCTCTTAAACATCTTATAACTGTTGAAAATAGCTTATAAGCTCGGCCAAACACACTCTAACATGGAGATTAAAGAAAGAAAAACTACAATTATGTAATTGGGAGAGTACACACATATCTCCGATAAAGTTTCAACTTCAAAAATGAAATTCCAAAAACAAAGAAGCCAAGTGAATATCAACCATTAAATTTATTTATAAATAAACAAATAAAAAAAAATAAAAAATTGGAACCAAATAATCAATCATGGACCCTTATGCATGTGTACTTGTGTAGGCAAAAGGTATGGCACAACAAAATGCTAACCATATATACTAAACTAAGCATATATTATTCCTTTTTCGTATATAAAAAATAAAAAAATAATAACCGTATATACTAAGCAATATTCCTCATCCATCGAATGTTGGGCTCTATCTAGGGGTGTGAAAGAGCCGAGCTCCGAGTTTATTTTGTCGAGTTCTTATTCAATTTGTCGAGCTCGAGCTCAAGCCAAACTATTTTTGATGTTTTTCTATCTATTATTTTTTTTATTAAAAATAATTTAGATTATAATAAAAAAAATTACAAAATAAACAATGAACTGTAGTTACATATATAATTTAATATTTATATGTTTTTTTTATGTGATTTCTATGATATTTTATATTACTATACATTATTGAAATAAAAAAGAATATATAAAAATAAAATAAAAATAAAAATAAGGCTTGCGAGCCGACTCGTAAGCTCACGAACAATAAAAAAAAAAAAGAATTCGAGTTCGACTCGTCAGAAAGCTCGAACTCGAAAAACTCGAGTTTGAGTTTTTTTCGAGCCGGCTCATCGAGCCTACGAGTCGCCCCAGCTCGTTAACCACCCCTATCTCTGTCACAAAAAGAATAATTAATTTATGTATATTTATTAGAGATATTAATATTTAATAATATATTTTTTTAACAGCTTAAACTTTTAATTGATGTGCTGACCAATATGGTTTCAGAGTTTGACCAAATGAAAGGTCGCGACTTTGAATCCAACGGCCTAGGATTTTCTTACTCTCTAATAATTTGATTTTTATAAGTATTTAATTTGTTAGATATTTATGTTATTGTTATTTTTATTTAAAACCAAATCACAAGGGTATTTGAGAGATTTTATAAAGAAAAAGCTGAAGACTAATTTTCAGTTTACAATCACATCAACTTTAAAATTATCTGTTTAAAATTGATTTTTTTTTTTTTTTTCAATATGACATGATTCAACCTATATTATATTTTATATATGCATGCATGCAGAAATATATAACATTACATATTTAATGATAATTTTTAATAATATTTTTTTATATGTATTGTCTATATAGAAACAATAATAATATATATTTGTAGTGTAGTAAACATATATAATTAATAAAAGCACAATGGGCCTGACTAATTAACGTTAGGTTCCATAGAAAAAAGACATTAATTAAATTAGTACAACTAGGGCTATCCAAAACCTTATCCCTGTCGAAAGTGACAACAAATTTTACCAATAATTAACTGTGGGAAGGGGCCTTTGTTTGTAGATCATTGAATTTATTAGATATATCATATATTTTTATATTAAGTGCAAATTATGGACACCCCTCTGAGTTATGGTCAAATTACGAAAATCCCTCATGTTTGTGTAATTACAGCTAACTTCGTATTATTTTATGAAAATACCTGTTGACATCAAAATTGAGATTAAATTACGAATTAATAGCCTAAACAAATTGGTTATTAATTCGGATCTCGATTAAAAGTCCATAATAAATTTGGGCTTATATCAATTTTTGAGATTAAATTACAAATTAATAATCCAAATAAATCGGTTATTAATTTGAATCTCAAATCAAAGCCCGTGAAGAGTTTGGGCTTTATATCGAAGTCCACACTAAATTTGGGCTCCGCAAATGTGCGATGTGAGTTAACTCAAAATAAGTACAAAATTCTTATTCATTTGGGTTAGCTATTTGGGCTTATAAAATCTAGCCCACGTGAAGTGGCAAGTGGTCAAGCCCACCGGTCCAAGTTTCAAGTCAAGAAAACCCTAAAACCGAGTCTATAAAAGTAGGTCTCAAACATATACAAGGGAGGGGGAAAAAAGGTACACAAACATCAAGCAAGGCGTACATCAAACACTCAAAAGCTCTCAAGTCTCGAGCTCTTGCCACGACGAAGAACAACGACCGCGGAGGTTCTACATCTTCATCAAGGCACCAAATCCACAAGACCTAGAAATCCCCAAATCGATTTCTAGATATTCATATCTACTTCCGCAAATCAACGGTGGAATCAAGCTCTCAATTCAAGAACAAGCTTCGGCCCTTGGATTATATCTAGGAGAAGAATCAGAGGAATCAACAAAGATTGTAACCCATTTTCGTTTTGATTAAAATATAATTATTTGTTCCTATTTTTTCTTGTCTTGTAATTTATTTTGCAGACATTTAAATTTGAGGTTAACAAATTGGCGCGCCCGGTGGGACAACTTTGCCTCTCATCTCCTCTCCTACATCGAAGCGCATATCCACGTGTTCAACGATCCAATGGCTCCAAAGAAGAACCAAAACTCTTTGATCCAAAAGGCTACCGAGATTGCCACCGTCGTTGGTTTATCATCCACCGGGGGCAAGATCGAGAATACAACTACGAGAAACGGCTCAAGCTGCTCAGGCTCGGAAGAGATCGACTCCAAATCTCAAGCCTTCACCACATTGCCGGTTATGGTGGTTGATGCGACTTCCGTGGATGAGCAATTGGCGCACTTGGCCCAAACAGTGGC